TTCAAAGGAACAATTTCGATATAGTTCAGTGACAAATAAACCGTGGAAAAGGATGGAAACAGAAGGAAATAAAGTAGAATAACCAGACCCATAATACTTTCAATAATTCAATGAGTTAAAAAACTTTTTTTTTTGGCAGAGCAAGAGACGGGTCAATCAGATGGCGTTAAATAAAGTAACTGCAGTAACTGCAGTAAAGGAAAACAAATGAGAGATTGGAATAATAGCGTTAAACTGGACGAAAAGAAGAGGGGAGAGAAAAAGTGAGGGGAAGGAATAGTACAAGCAAAGGGGACGAATAGGAGAAAAGAATCGGAGAGGCGAAAGAATAAGGTGTGGTTTGAAAGACGTTAAAAGGTAAACCAGAGAAGAAAACACAACAAAATTGACATAGGAAACAACAAAAATCGAAATAGCTTCCTCACAAACAAAACAAACAAAAAAATCAATCAATCAATCAATCAATCCTAATAATATGTCGAGCTTGCGAGGCAGGGGTATTTAATTATTTTTTTGTTTTGCAGGGGGTGGTGGGCTGAGGTAGAAGAGTTTTTTTTTTCATGTGGGAGACATCATGCCATCCTAGCAGTCGTGGTGCGTGCACAGGAAACTAAAACAAAAAAAAAAAAAAAGGCGGGGGAGGAATTTCGATGTTTGTTGTTGATTTTATTTTTTTTTTTTTTCTCAAGGTTGATATCCTCCAAACCCATTCCCGAAGCTTCCACTATTCGGCTGAGCCCAACCTGATACCGGCGTAGACTGTCCGCGGCCGTATCCGGCCGCACCTCCTGGAAGCTGTTGACCATAGCCTCCTGCAGAGGGCATCCCAGGTCCCCCACCAAAGTTTGCTGCTCCTTGCTGGTCCCAGCCGCGAGCGCCGGGACTAGGTCCTGCACCGCCTAATTGGGGGAATGCTGGTTAGTAAACCTTTCTTGGCGTAAAAGGGATTAAAGGATTTTGGAGAGGGGTGGGGAGAACTGACTACCTACCTTGGGGAGTCATAGGACCGCTCGGACCGCTGTATTGCGGGAAATAGGGCGAGGTGCTAGAGTTGAACGTAGGGGTGCCACTCTGCTGAGGAGAATACCCTTCAAATTGCCCAGTTGGTGGGCGGTCCCTTCCCCACTATGATTTTTGTAAAATAGAGTCAAAAACGGCGTCCTTTATACATATAGGATATTAGCACTCAAGGGGGAGGAGCAGAACGGAATCACTCGCGCTACACT